TTGTAAATGCTCCAACACTGGAAGTTTTTAAGAAGAGATTGGATAACCATTTGTCTGAAATGGTATAGGGCCGTGATGATGAACCTATGGCACACGTGCCACAGGTGGTACACGGAGCCATATCAGTGGGCATGCAAGCTCAGCCAGCTGATTTTCGAGCCTTCTGGGTCTACCGGAAGTAGGGGAAAAGGCTGTGTCCGACCTCTGGAGGGCCTGGGGGGGGGGAAGGTCCATTTTTCACTCTCCCCAGGCTCCTAGAAAGGCTCTGGAGCCTGGGGAGAGCAAAAAACAGGCCTTCCAGTCCCACCAGAAGTCGGCAAATGGGCCATTTCCGGCCTCCAGAGGGCCTCCGGGATGGTGGGGAAGGCCGTTTTCGCCTTCGCCAGGCTCCTAGAAAGGCTCTGGAGCCTGGGGAGGGTGAAAAATGGCCCCACCATGCCATTGCATGCCAAAAGCGGGGGGAGCACAGGAGGGTCACGTGCACATGCGGGGGGTGGGGCGCATAGAATTATGGGTGTGGACAAATTGAGCTTGTCTCTGATGGGTAAAATTGCAGTGATCAAAATGAACATCTTACCAAAAATTCTCTTTCTTTTTCAAAACATTCCGCTATCACTAGACAAAAAATTCTATTTGGACCTGAACAAATACATCAGGAACTTTTTGTGGGAGGGTAAGAAATCGAGGATTTCTTTTAAGATACTCCAAGGGAAAAGGAATTTAGGAGGCTTTGGGCTCCCTGACTGGGAACTATATCAAAAGGCCGCAAAATTAATTTGGATCAAGGAGTGGATCAAGTTACAGGATAGGAGAACCCTGATCTTGGAAGGACATGACCTCCTAGAAGGATGGCACTCCCATCTCTGGGATATAAAGAATAAGAAAAAATCCTATTTCCATAAGCACAAAATCAGGGAGACCCTCATTCGTACGTGGCACGAAATTAGACAGAAGATCTATTCTAAGGTACCCATTTGGCTTTCTATTATGGAATCGTTGGCGACTCCAAACAGGAGCGATGATTATAAATGGGGTACATATAAGGACATCCTCGATGAAGAAGGGAAACTTAAATTGCTGGAGCTATTGAGGGATCAGGGCTTTAGTGTGGATTGGTGGAACTATATTCGGATCAACTCAAGATTCCAAAAAGACAGAGATAAATTCGGAATAGCAGCGAAACATGGAAACTTTGACAAAATTATTTGGGGACCAGAAAAAAAAATGTTAACCAAAATTTATCACTTTTTATTAGATGAAGATAAGGCAGAGTCCATAGCAAAAAGACAATTGAACATCTGGGAAAAAAATCTAGGACATAGACTAAATTTCAATGACTGGGAGATAGCTTGGAATAGAAACTACAAAATAACCAAATCCACAACGTTTAGGGAACATCACTATAAATTGCTACATAGGTGGTATCTAGCCCCAGCGAGGCTAGCTAAGATGTTCCCAAATCTCTCTCCCATATGTTGGAAATGTGGAAAATCGGTCGGCACCTTTTATCACCTATGGTGGACCTGCCCTGAGACTAAAAAGTACTGGTCCAAAATCCAACATTGGCTCTGTGAAATAACAGGACAGGAGGTAGCCCTAGCTCCGGAACTTTTCCTCCTAGGCATAACTGAAGAGGGCTTAAACAACAACAAAACCCAACTGATAATTCAGATTATAACTGCGGCTAGATTAGCCTTCGCAAAATGGTGGAAAAACAAACTTATACCCTCAGAAGAAACTCTAATAAATAAGATCTTAGAGTGCGCAGAAATGGCGAAACTGTCAGGCGAGTTAAAAAATGAGGACAACTTAAGATATTATGATGTATGGGGTATCTGGTACCACTGGCTTAAAAATAAGACGAAAACATGACTTTAGAATTTTGACCTGGCACATCTACTATAGCCATATTGTATAGTATCATGTATAGTTAAGATTGAAGCCTTATTTTTCCCAATTTTTGTTTTATTATATTGTAATTACACTGTACCTTCGAAAGCAGAGATGGATTGTACATTCTCTTTTTTGTTTTGGAAAAATCAATAAAAAATTTTAAAAAAAAAGAATTATGGGTGTGGGCACGCGTGCGCATGACCCTCCATGCTCCCCTTGCTTTTGGCATGTGATGGCAAAAAGATTACCCATCACTGGTATAGGGTTTCCTGCCTAAGCAGGGGATTAGACTAGAAGACCTCCAAGGTCCCTTCCAATTCTGTTATTCTATTCTGTTTACTTGGATCAGCTTACATCCTACAACAGGCCTGTCACAAACAGCCATCCCTACCCCGGCTCTGCTAAGGCAAAGAAAAAAAAAATCATGATATGTCACATGACACGATCAAGGTTGACACCCGTGTCCTATAACAATATCTTTAAATCATCGCACATTCACATCTACCTAACCCAGGTCCTTCGGAAGGACTTGATTAGAGGATCAAAATGCCAAATCCACCTGAACGTATGGCTGATTGTGCAATGAAACAGTAAAGTGAAGCAAATCTTACCCGGAATAAGTTAAAGAAAAGCAAATTTAAAGTAGGAAAACAAAGCAAAAAAAAAAAATTAAAAATCTAAAATATTTGTAAAACTTACTGTTCCACTTTATGAAAACAAGAAGGAACACTTCATTGGAGGGAGAAATATATCAGAGACTCAGAGGAATGTTTCTACATGTTTTCCACCCAGTAGCAATGACTGCAAACTCAGAGACATTGACGAAGCCAATAAAATGCCCGATTTCTGATGAGAGAGTTAAAAAAATGATATTTTTTTTAAAAAAACGATTGACACCCTTTCTAACAATTCATCACTGAATGATAGTGAAAGCTTCCCCTTTATTTTGGGTCTCTACTATGCTTTCTGTTTTCCTCTTGCCTTCTCTATGTTTCTCTCTTCCCATTTCTCCTTCCCTCAGTACAGGTAGTCCTCCACTTACAACAGCTCATTTAGTGACCGTTCAAAGTTCCAACAACACTGAAAAAAAGTGATATGACCATTTTTCACAGTTGCAACCTTTATAGCATCCCCATGATCCTGCTATCAAAATTCAGATGCTTGGCAATGGGTTCATACTTATGACCATTGCTGTGTCCCAAGGTCACGTTTTGTGACCTTCTGACCTTCTGACCCTTTTGCGATTTTCTGACAAGCAAAGTCAATGGGTGAGCCAGATTCGTTTAACAACTGGGTTAATAACTTACCAACTGCAGTGATTCGGTTGGCAAAAAAGATCGTAAAATGGGACAAAACTCACTTAACAAATGTCTCACTTAGCAACAGAAATTTTGGGCTCAAGTGTGGTTGTAAGTTGAGGGACATCTATATCTAATTTTTCCTCTTGCCAAGCAAAAAAGGAGGAAACATTGCGATTTTGAATTAAAGGTGGGAACATGGAATTGGCTGGGTAACTTTGGGTGAGTCATCCTTCCCTCTGGGAAGTCAAAAAAACAAACACCTATCTATTAACCTGCATCAGATGAGCATTCTAGATTATGATATATCCTATACTAATGAAGATTCGTCCTGTACTGTATTGATTTAGGGCAGTGGTGGGTTTCAAAATTTTCTGTGGGTGTGGATGTGGCTTGGTGGGCATGGCATGGCTTGGTGGGTGTGGCTTGGTGGGCATGGCAGGAGAAGGATATTGTAAAAGCTCCATTCCCTCCCCACTCCAGGGGACGGATACTGCAAAATCCCCATTTCCTCCCGATTAGCTGGGACTCAGGAGGCAGAGAATAGATGGGGGCGGGGCCAGTCAGAGGTGATATTTACCGGTTCTCCGAACTATTCAAGATTTCCGCTACCGGTTCTCCAGAACTGGTCAGAACCTGCTGAAATCCACCTCTGACTTAGGGTGAAGAGATAGAGAAAGAGAGAGATAGAGAGAGACAGAAGATGAAAAACATGCAACAAACGTCTGTATAGCAGAGACAGGATGATCTCAGCACTGAATGAATACTGATGGTGAATCTATATATAAATGTATTTTTTTTCTCCTCCCAGGGCAACAAACTATATTGCATAGCTCCACTACTAATATATAAGCTTATCTGAAATCATTTCTTTTTAATCCTTATGCCTTTAGGATTGAATAGAATTATTCCCACAGAGGGACAAGGGGGAAAAAGCCCAGGAAGAAGAGTTCTCTATGGCAAAAGTTATTAAGATGAAAACAGTGGCAATATAACAGTTCCAGCTAATGAACTACATTCAGTTCAGAATTAATATAGATTAGTTGAAAACTTTCTGAGTCCTGTCCCCTCCCGTTCCCTCCACAGAATGGACCAGCGAGCAACTGATTTTTTTTTTTCTTTCTCTGATTCTGGGAGAATTAGTAACTGGATGACCTGAATCACCTGAAAACCAACTCTTACATAAAATAGGCTTCACATATATACATTATATTTATTTATTTATTTTTATTAATCAAATTTATATAGCCATCCACTTCACCAAAGGTGATCCGGAGTGACACACAATAGATAAAACAGCCAATTTAAAAGCAGATAAAATTTTAAACACTATAGCAATAAATAAAAACGAGCAATATATATCTACTAATAGGATATCTTCACATATCTAAACATTCTCTCCCACACACAAATACAAATGTCTTTCTTTTTTCTTTTTTAATATATGTTTTATTTGTTTTAATTATATAACATTCAATTTCCATCAAACTGTGTGAGATCTGGGTACAGTTATTTTTAATCATAGTCCACATAATTGTTGTAATATTCATCACCATAATATTAATAATATAATAATATAATAACAATAATACGTTAACATCCTCTTCTTTGACAACTCTTCACATTAGCATTTCCTCTTTTTATATCTCCTCCTCTCTAATTTCTGTTTCTATTGTCTAGCCATTGATAGAACATATCAGTGGTGGGTTGCCCTGGTTCGCACCGGTTCTATAGAACCGGTAGAAAAACTGGCAGGAGGCTCCGCCCACCGACCCCGACATCATAAAAATGCTTCTGTGCATGCGCAGAAGAGTGTGTGCGGCCCCGCTGCGAACCGGTAGTAAAGGTAAGTAGAACCCACCCTGGAACATATCCCATATCAAAAAATATTCAGTTTCTTCTTTATCCTCAATAGTGAGCGTTAATCTATCCTGGCTTTCTTTATGTTCATCTGAGATAACCTGATATCTATTAGATGTCTCAGACACCAAGAAAAGGAGGAACACCAGCTGCTATTGCCATACTTTGATTCCCCCTTCTGCAGCTGATTTTCCACCAAACTTACTATATTTTTACACACACAGGCAAAGGAAATATCATAAATTAGGCTGATTTAGTCTGAGACCCACCAGATGTGTTGAATCATGTCAGGACTTTAATTACCTCACACGAAGGAAATGCTCCCCAAATTCAGATACCATAATTTTCCTGATTCACCAAACCACTTTTCAACTTGATGTGTTTGTTACCACTCTTTGCAAAATGATCTACGTTTTGCAACACCGTGTGGTTCTGGATTGACCAAATATTCTCTAAACAAACATGATCAAGGGCCAGGGAAATGTTTTATTTTATAAAAACAAGATATAAAAATGATATGCAATTGCTTCCTATATTATATTCTGTTGCTATCTCTACACTATTACATGATAATTACTATACTATTACTTATTGCTCTATTACGATTACCTATATATATTATGCTATATACTATTATCAGTATGCATCAATATATCTTAAACCTGCTCTGTTTTCAGTTCCCTTTCTAAGATTTCTTCCATTCCCTCGGGAAAAAAAAAACCCCGAATCTCTTTCATTACATACTGTGTTTCCTGGGGGGCTATAGAGCTCCACAACATGTGTCTCCTCCCACATCTGTGTCAATGTTGCAATCAAAGGGGAGGGAAAGAAGGCAGCACAAGTGTCTACAATTTTGTTCAAGCAGCCTGTTCTCATCATTCCCACATCTTTTTATTAGATACAGGTTAAGAGGTGGAAAGGACCTGGTAGGTCATCTAGTCCAAACCACCCCTACCACCCCCACCCAAGCAGACCCTACACCATTTTTGACAGATGGCAGTCCAGTCTCTTTTTGAAAGCTTCCAGTGATGAAGCTTCCACAACTTTTGAAGGCAAGCTGTTCCATTGGTTGATTGCTCTCATTGTCAGAAAATTTCTCCTTATTTCCAGGTTGAATCTTTCTTTGTTCAGTTTCCATCCATTATTCCTTGTCTAATCTTCAGGTGCTTTGGAAAATAGGTTGACCCACTCCTCACTGTTGAAGGCCCTCAAAGATTGGAACAATGCTATCATGTCTCCTCTGGCCCTTCTCTTCACTAGACTACCCATGCCCAGTTCCTGCAAACATTCATCATATGTTTTAGCCTCCAGTCCCCTAATCATCTTGGTTGCTCTTCTCTGCACTCTAGATTCTAGAGTCTCAACATCTTTTTTACAGTGTGGTGACCAAAACTGGATGCAGTACTCTAGGTATGGTCTTACTAAAGCTTTATAGAGTGGCATTAGTACCTCACTTGATCGTGATTGTATCACTCTGTTAATGCAATTTAGGATTGCATTGGCTTTTTTGACTACCGCTGCACACTGCTGGCTCATATTTAATTGGTTGTCCACTAAGACTCCAAGATCCCTCTCACAGTTAGCCTGGTTTTACCCAGTCTATACAGTATGTGTACTTTTTCTTGCCTAAGTGTAAGATTTTACTTACACTTTATTATAAAAATCTCTACTGGTCTCCACGTTTCTTGGTCTGAAAAATCCCACTGAAAAAAGTTTAAGGGTTCTTCTGAGCTTTAGCTGAAGCATAGGATGATTGGGAAGTTACGGATCACTGAAGAGAATGGAATGGAATGGAATGGAATGGAATGGAATGGAATGGAATAGAATAGAATAGAATAGAATAGAATAGAATAGAATAGAATAGAATAGAATAGAATAGAATAGAATAGAATAGAATAGAATAGAATAGAATTCTTTATTTGCCAAGTGTGAGTTACACACAAGGAATTTGTCTTTGGTGCATATGCTCTTAGTGTACATAAAAAGAAAAGATACATTCATCAAGAATCCTAAGGTACAACACTTAATGATAGTCATAGGGTACAAATAAGCAATCAAATCATACTAGGAAACAATCAACATCAATATAAATCATAAGGATACAAGCAACAAAGTTACAGTCATGCAGTCATAAGTGGGAGGAGATGGGTGATAGGAATGATGAGAAGACTAATACTATTAGTAATGCAACCTTAGTGAATAGTTTAACAGTGTTGAGGGAATTATTTGTTTAGCAGAGCGATGACATTCGGGAGAAAACTGTTCTTGTGTCTAATTGTTCTGGTGTACAGTGCTCTATAGCGTCGTTTTGAGGGTAGAAGTTGAAACAATTTATGTCCAGGATGCGAGGGGTCTGTAAATATTTTCACAGCCCTCTTTTTGACTCGTGCATTATACAGGTCCCCAATGGAAGCCAGGTTGGTAGCAATTGTTTTTTCTGCAGTTCTCATTATCCTCTGAAGGCTGTGTCTGTCTTGTTGGGTTGCAGAACCAAACCAGACAGTTATAGAGGTGCAGATGACAGATAATAATTCTGTCATCTGTCAATAATTCCTCTGTAGAACTGTATCAGCAGCTCCTTGGGCAGTTTGAGCTTCCTGAGTTGGAGCAGAAAGAACATTCTTTGTTGTGCTTCTTTGTTGAGAAGACAATAGCATGAAAGAGAGTGATCACACAAATATTTTCCACTGCCATGAAAGAAAGAATTCCATACCTGGGCAAATAGTAGTGCGGCTTAGATGTTCTTCTCCTTTACAAAGGAATTGCTTTTCTTTCAAAGTGGGGGGTGGGAATCGGGAAAGGCCTTATCGGCAAGAAGTTTAAAATAAGCCATTATTAATCTCACATTAAATATTGCAACATGCAGAATCAACATTTCATTAAGGAAGGAGAACAGCCAATGGATGCTCTTTCAAAAACAGGAGCAAAATGTGGTGGTATCCGATAAGAAGTAAAACAGCCTGGTGCATGACATCATTAGCCCAAGGTGAGCAAGTGGCATCCTATTTTCTTTTGCCCAAAAATCTCCTGACTGAAAGACCTTTTTCTACCCAATTATTACTCTGAGAAAGATACATGATGCATACCAAGTACAGTAAAAGTCTCAGTGGGAGGATCATGCATTTTAATATCACCAGCCTGAAAATAAAAATGAACTCTGACTTTTTGTACCCAAAGAAAGGAGAGTGAAGGATAGAGAAGTAACCTCTATACAGTGAGGAATACATTTTTTTAAAAAAAAAAAACATCATTAGCAACAGCGGAAAGAATGTTCTGTTTTTATAAGATGAGGAAAACTCAGGAAAATCTATCTTCCGATCACATCCAACTTCTTTGGCCTCCTGCAGATCCCTGCATCCAATGTGAAATACTTGGGCTGCCCCTCATAAAGCAACTCTAAAGTCCATCAGAGTTGGGCAAGTTATAAATTCAAAGAAACAAACAAACTGTCCTGTTTACAGCATAAAGAGTCGTATGCATTTAGCTTTCTAATGTTAAGACCAAGATCTATAGGTTTTTATCATATCAAGAGTTTAAATAATCATTGCTCTAAAAGAGCAGCTCTTGTATGATGCAAGAATAAAAACGTTATTAGATGATGTTTCTTTGTGCAATTTCAGATATGGATGTTGCTGAGAGGTGGTATTAAGCCGGTTCAGACCAGTTCGCCTGAACCGGTAGCGGAAATCATGGGTGGGCCTGTCCCGGCTCTATGCCATCCTCTTTAGGCATGGAAGGCATGTGCACAAGCAAGGCACATGTGTGGAAGGCCAGGCGCATGTGTGTGAACATAGTGAACATAATGTGAAACCCACTGCTGATGTTGCTTATATGGTGAGTGCAATTCTGAGCACATTTAGTAGAAATGTATTGCACTGAAATCAAAGATAAAGAAACCCCTTGTGGCCCATGCTCTCTGGTGCCACTTTGATGGAGTTGGCTTTGATTATCCCTACTACCTACAATGGGGAAGGGAAGGGTAGGGGAGAGGAGAGGAGAGGAGAGGAGGGAAGGGAAGGGAAGGGAAGGGGAGAGGGGAGGAGAGGGGAGGAGAGGAGAAGAGGGAAGGAATGGAAGGGAAGGGGAGGGGAGGGGAGGGGAGGGAAGGGGAGAGGAGAGGAGAGGAGAGGAGAGGAGGGAAGGGAAGGGGAGGGGAGGGGAGAGGAGAGGAGAGGAGAGGAGAGGAGAGGAGAGGAGAGGAGGGAAGGAAGGGAAGGGAAGGGAAGGGAAGGGAAGGGAAGGGAAGGGAAGGGAAGGGAAGGGAAGGGAAGGGGAAGATAGTACAAGACAAGACAAACATGGGTCCTATTTGCAGTAGAAATAAGTAGAAATAAGTACCCTTCTGTAAGGTCCTGCCTCACCAGTCTTCTCAAGAAAGCAGAACTCTTGAAATGAAATTCATTTCAAAAGAAAACTTTTATTGGAAGATTGTGACAGCAAGAGATATAGGCAGGAAGTAACTTTTCCCGCTTGAAACATTAGATTAAACCAGTGCAGACAGAGCCCCTCCCAAAGTCCAATGCATCATGGAGCCAATCCCGTTGTGTGAAGATGTTATGGGTTAAATTCAGCCAGAGAAGATGATAAACGCTCGTCTCCAAGGCAACGCTGCTGCTCTTCTCTCCAGAGATGAGATAAGGCCAGTCTTCTCAAGAAAGCAGAACTCTTGAAACAAAAGTCATTTCAAAAGGAAACTTTTATTGGAAGATTGTGACAGCAAGAGATGTAGGCAGGAAGTAACTTTTCCCACTTGAAATGTCATTTTCTGCTACTACCGGTAGCAACCACATCTATTTTGTTCATGACAATATATCCCTAACCTATTTTTTCAAGTCTCCCAATGGGACACACCTAGTCTCTGTAATTGAGTCCATCCACCTAGCTGAAAGTCTTCTTCTTCTTCTTCTTCTTCTTCTTCTTCTTCTTCTTCTTCTTCCTTCTTCTTCTTCTTCTTCTTCTTCTTCTTCTTCTTCTTCTTCTTCTTCTTCTTCTTCTTCTTCTTCTTCTTCTTCTTCTTCTTCTTCTTCTTCTTCTTCTTCTTTCCTTCTACTATTTCCAGCATCAGAGTCTTTTCTAGAGAGCTAGGTCTTTGCATAATATGTCTGAAGTAGGGTGATTTGAGCTTGGCCATTTGTTCCTCATGTGAGAGCTCTGGGTTAAATTGTTTAATGATCCATTGGCTTGTTTTCTTGGCTATCCCTGGAATTCTCAAGGATCTTCTACAACATTGAAATTCACAACAATCAATACTCTTCCCGTCTTGCTTCTTTAAAGTCCAACTTTCACTTTCATAGAGCGTCACATGGCTTGCACAATTCGAATACTTGTAGGCATAGGCACATACAGTAGTGGCCAAAATTGTGGAAACCTTTGGGAAAAGTGTATCTTTGTGGTTTGGTGGCTAATAACACCAATTTTTGGGGGGAGTTTCAAGATAATCCTATTCCACTGCTGGAATGGCCTGGGAATAGTCCAGACCTTGACCCAATTGAAAATCTATGGAGCTGACTAAAGAAACTTGTTAGTCAGAAGTGACCCAGCAATAAAACCCAGTTAATAGAAGCAATCATTCAAACTTAGTTTCACATTCTAACAGCTGCAGAAGTAAAAGATTTGATTCACTCCATGGGAAGATGTTGTAAGGCCATAATTCATGCTAAAGGTTACCCAACTAAGTATTAACTGATGTGATAATTTCTGTATATCTCGTTTTTTTCTATGTGTTTCACTTTTCTTCTTTATACTGTAACTGCTATTCTAATAGCAAATCCTTCATAAAAGTTATTGCATTACATTCTTGATTAAATTTTCTTTCCATTGATATATAATTTTATGGTACTACTCCAAAAAAAAGTGGTGTTATTAGCTAGTTTTAGAAAATGCACTTTTCCCAAAAGGTTTCCACAATTTTGGCCACTACTATAAATGGCATTTGATGTTTTTTTAAATATAAAGCAGGCATTATTTTTGGAGACACAATGTGTGAAACAATGAAGGGGCAGGATATTCAACAAAGTGAGTAAAAAAAAAGAATGTTAAAATTAATATCATAGTGAAGTTCAATCTGGATTGGGGAAAAAATTAGGAATAGCCCAGGGGGCATAGAATTTTGTCTACACATGGGAAGGGACATTTGAAAGTGAGAAGAATTAACTGTATTTCTTCCCCTGCAGGTACATAAACTTTCTGCCTTTGGGGGTCTCTTATCTACAACAGCTATTATGCTCTTTCACTTTGGAAACAAGAAAGCACAGTGTCACTAAATTGGAAACAATTTTTCATACCATACAATCTTCCCAGTTGCTATGAATCTAATTAAAAACATTGCACAGCCATCTTAGTTTTCCATATTTAACATATTACTGAATGATTACTCTATTGTCTTTAATGAAAACATTCACTAAGTAATACAATTAGCTCAAAGTAAATTAAATGTGAAATTCAGCTTTTGAATGATTGTAGCATCTCACACACACACAAAAAGCAGTGCCGATTGCACAGTGGAAAACTGGGTATAGATGGGCTTTTATAATAACTGAACGGAGAAATAACTGAAGAGAAAAAGAAGAAAGGACTTTTTCTGGAATTTTTTTCACATAAGTCTCATCAGCAACAGAAGCAATGCTATAATCCTGTGTCTGCCATGATACCCAAGATCCAATGCTTTTCTAAGATATCATCATAGGGCAAATAACGGAAAAGTATTATTATTATTTGTTCACAACAATGTGAAGTCACAGCTACCAATTCTTTAGCTGATGTTGGCCTTCATGTGTACTGAGTTATTTTCAAGAACCTAGGATATGCACTACCTGACTGTTGTTACATCCTCAACACCCCATAACTTTAACCTTAAACTGTCTATTGTTGATCTCACCCCATTCCTAAGAGGTCTGTAAGGGGCGTGCATAAGCGCACCAGCGTGCCTTCCGTCCCTGTCCTACTGTCCCCATTTATTCATAACCATTTCCTGTATTAATATTCATGTTTATATTTATTCCTGTTATCTCATACATGTATGACAAAACAAATAAATAAATAAAATATATAATGTCCCAAAATTGCTTTTTCAAGAGGCAACTGAACTTTTTCTTGAAGACATTTTACTTCTTACCCAAGAAGCTTTTTCAGTTTTTATCGTTCATACCCCACCCCCTACTCCATTTGAAAGACGTTCAACCCAATGTACATAGCTAAATGTCTATGGAGATTCTCAGTCATGGTCATCCCAAAGGTGCACCTGGATGACTGAGAATAGCAATAGCAATAGCACTTAGACTTATATACCGCTTTACAGTGCTTTACAGCCTACTCTAAGCCATTTACAGAGTCAGCCTGTTGCCCCCAACAATCTGGGTTCTCATTTTACCCACCTGGGAAGGATGGAAGGCTGAGTCAACCTTGAGCCTAGTGAGATTTGAACTGCCAAATTGCAGGCAGCCGGCATTCAGTAGAGGTGGCCTGCAGTACTGCACTGTAACCACAGCACCGCTGTGGCTCACAGTGAATCTCCACCCTGATTTTTATAAAAAATCTAGGATATATAATGTATTGGCATAGTATAGGTACAGATCCATACAGTGTGGCTTTTGCAATTAACTAATATAAATTTTGACAATGCCCATATTTTCTAATTGTTTTCATATATTTTTTTTTTTGAAAAGGAACCACTGGGGTCACCTGGTGCCATAATCTTTCGATTTCAATTTTCAGATATTGATTTATTGATTTATTATTTATTAGTCCAATTTATATGCCGCCCTTCTCCGTAGACTCAGGGTGGCTTACAACGCATTATAGCAATAGCCTGCATACTTTTTTGTATTTACCTGCTTATTAGGGCTTTCGGCCCCCCCTAAGCGGTGTTGTTCTATACAAAGTTGGCTTATTGCCCCCACAATCTGGGTCCTCAATTTACCTACCTCGAAAGGATGGAAAGCTGAATCAACCTTGAGCCTGGTGAGATTCGAACTTGCACTAATTGCAGACAGCTGGCAGCTAAGTGCTAGCACTTAACAGCACTTTAGTCTGCTGCACCACCGAGGCTCTGATACTTTGGGATCTTCTCCTATTCTTTTTCTTTTTATTCTACTATCGCCTAGCATTATCAAATCAATTGTCTACACTTTCTTCTTTTCAACCACAGTGGGGTTTTATGAGCCAAAGGCTTTATCAGTTTAGATTCAGAGGTCTCACAATCCTTTAACCTGCTCATTTTCAACTACTTTCTCGGCTCTGTTCCCACTGATTTTTCATTACTGACACATAGTCATTTCTAGAAACGTTACAGGGAATAGTTTTGGTGACTGTGTTATGTCATTGTTTATAATCCATTTGGGCAATCTTCTTGCAGGACCTATGATCTGCTATTTCTTCCGCTTCTTTGCACAGTCTGCACTTTGAAACTAACGATCAACGAAATTTAACAATTGCAAGATCGAATCTAGGTTGATCATTGGGACCAGAGGTTTACTCTTCCAAACTCTCAGACTTGTGTTGGAACCCATTTTCAGGGAACTTCTCTCTACTGGAATATGTGCTTTGGACTATTCTATACTTTATATTTTGCCTTTATTCATTTAATTATGTTTCTGACCTTAATTGCATCAGTTAAGTTGTGGGAAATTGCAACAGGAAGTTGTGGGAGCTTCATCACTTGAGACTTTCAAGAAAAGATTGGACTGCCATTTGTCAGAAATGGTGTAGGGACTCCTGCTTGAGCGGGGGGTTAGACTAGATGACCTATAAGGTCCCTTCCAACTCTGTTAATCTGTTAAATCAGTTTGAACAACTTGCTTTTGTGCAGCCAAAATCAAGTCTTTGGTTA